TTCTTCTCCCAATACTTCATGTTGTTCTCCTGTTTGGAGTTCACCATCTTTAGTGCCCGCCCCTGAGAAAGCCCACCTTCCCAGTTCACCCTGTGCTCTTCCTCCTCCATCCCCACTTTGCCTTCTTGCATGCTCGGATCTTTAATATGGTTGGATGTTTTCCCTTCCTAAAGACAACACTGCCCCTCTCGTTTCTTCCTCTGTCAAAATTCTTGACAAAGCTGCTTCCACGAGGATTTGGCATCCAGCTCACGCCTGGCCACAGCCCTCAAATATAGATGGGGTCATGATGGCAGGGGAAGGGGACTCCTCACCATCACCATCCCTCTGTCCTTAGCTCTCTGCCTCCTTTCCTTTCCCCTAAAACCACACTGTGGTTAGAGTATCTTGAATTCTAGTTCTTCAAATCCTCATGGGTCTGTGGACCTCAGCATCCTTGTCATAATTCTCTATCCCCTGCACCCTCAAAACCTGCAGACCTGCTCCCCACATCTGACTGCCCATCAGTGCTCTGCCCAAGGGGACTACTACCCAGGGCCCAGGCCATGTGCTATAAACTCGAGAAGCAACTCTCTTCGAAGAACCCACTGTCAAATCTAACTCCTTGCATGTAAGGATGAGCTTCTCACTTCACCCCAAATCGGGCAACCCTGTTCAGCCTCCCCAAATCCCATCAGACTTTTTTATTGGCTAAGGGGACCCTTGAGAGAATAGATAAGAGTGGTCACTATTTGGGGGGGGTGCTTAGCTCTAGGCATCGCAGGCTAAGCATTTGATAGATATTACCTAAGTCAATCCACACATCTCCTGACAGGTAGGATTATCTCCATTTAACAGAGAAGTTGAGTAGTTTATCTCAGGCTGCCCAAGCCAACCAACGTCGAGACCAGATGCTTCCAAAGCCCTGTTCACATGGGGTGGGCTCCTGCCCCACCCACCCCATGTTCCAGTTCTGCTGTGTCCCTCATACCCTGTCAGCTGCCAGGTTCTGGAGAAGATCTCACTAAAATGCCTCCCACATCCAGAGTTCACATCCTGGGTCCCACTGGACTACACAATGCCCTCCTGACTCCTCACCCTGCTGCCCACATACCCCCACCCTTCTGGACCCAGCCCAAATCATTCCTCCTCTGGGAAGCTGATGTGTTGAGGCTTTCTGTCCCCACTCAAATCTCTCACCTTGAATTGTAGTCCTGCGGTGTTGAGGGAGAGACCGGCAGGAGGTGATTGGATCGTGGGCTCAGTTTCCCCTATGCTATTCTCACGATTTGATGGTTTTATAAGGCAGTCTTCCCTGCTCTTGCTTGCTTGCTGTCTCTCTTCTGCCACTATGTAATACATGCCTGCTTCCCCTGTGATTGTAAGTTTCCTGAGGTCTCCCCAGCCATGTGGAACTATGAGTCAATTAAACCTCCTTTTTTAAAAAATAAATTATCTATCTAGGGTAATGTCTTTATAGCAGTGTGAAAATGAACTAATTACAGAAGTGTTTGTGGATTAGCTCCCACCAGTACTGGGAAGGGATGTTGCCCTCCTGGAACCTTCCAAATCACTCACTGCCTGAGCTGGTACACTCGGCTTCCCACCGCCCCTTGACTGATGTCCGTTAATGCCATTCAGCGCCAGGTGCGCAGACCTTACTTCCTCACTGAGATATGCCCTTGATGGCAGAGCTGTGTACACAGCAAGTGTTCAGGTGATGGTGGTCACTGGGTGACAGAGGCAACATGACACAGTGGTGAAGACAGAGGGAACTGAAACACGAGTTTGAAACCTGGCCTGGTTGTTCTTCGACTGTGCTGGCTGGACAAGACATATAGTCTCATTATGTCTCAGTTTCCTCAACTGTAAAATGAGGCCAATGTGAATCCTCACCTCACAGGGCTATTGCAAAAATTAAACAAGGAGGCCTTAGCACTCTATGGGCACATGGTGGCTATTCATACTCCCCCGGGAGACGCCTCCCCTTGGCAAAGAACCAGAAAGTCATGTTTTGTAAACAGGTGAAGGCTCCCAATTTGTTCTGTAAGAACGCCTTCACCCATGAGTGCTGACACAAGTCCTAGGATCAAAGTGGACCTTGGCAATGACCAACAAGCCTTTTACGTGAGCTCCTGCTGTGACCACATCACCAGGACAGCTTCAAGTGTGACTCTAAGCCCCAGTATTGGTTCTCGCTTGTCCACACACAGCCAGCTTTTGTCAGCTCTTTCCATCCTTCCTGAATGTCCCTGGGGACATAACAAGCCCTAGGGGTCAGGCTGGAAGGGCTCTGGTGTGCAGAAAGAACATGAACTAAGAAGTAAAGAAGGTGTCAGCCAAACACTCAACGGCAAAGTGCTCTAGCAGAAACCAAAGCCATGCTTCCTTTGAAACCTCGGGTGTTTTCTCCTGGTCCTTGTACTAACCTGACTTTGTACTCTTAGCAGACAGTTTTCACCATGGGGTTGTCTGGGGACAGAAGACCCCAAAAACAACGCAGCTCACCTCTAATGACAACAGAATTGCTTAAAATGAGGAAGTGGGGCATGCATCTGTCGACTTCTGGAATATTAGCCTCACACAAAACACGGAGCTATGACAAGGTATGGGGCTTCACGTTTTTTCCCCCGACCTCAGCAGAAGACAATATTGGTTCAAGAAGAAACACCAGCTGCTGCTTCAGAATTATATGACAAGGCCGGGCGCAGTGGCTCATGCCTGTAATCCTAGCATTTTGGGAAGCTGAGGCAGGTGGATCACTTGAGGTCAGGAGTTCAAGACCAGCCTGGGCAACATGGTGAAACTCCATGTCTACTAAAAATACAAAAATTAGCCAAGCATGGTGGTGGGCACCTGTAATCCCAACTACCTGGTTGGCTTAGGCAGGAGAATCATTTGAACCCAAGAAGTGGAGGCTACAGTGAACTGAGATCCCGCCACTGCACTCCAGCCTGGGCAACAGAGTGAGACTCTGTCTCAAATAAAAAATAAAAAAATACATGACAATTACTCTCCCGGCCTGCAGCAGTCACCCCTCAGCCCATCTGAGAGTCTCTGGTAACCCACTAGAAGGATTTTTTGACTGTTCTCTGCCATCAACTGGAAGTGGCTATAGATGTGTAACAATATGGGCACTTAGGGAGAGGCAGAGGCCCTGGCAGTGAGCAGAGAGTTTACCCACCACTGGTTCCCTGAGAGTGGGATGGAAAACTTCTTCCTTTGCCCCCCAGCACCACCTTCCTGAACGGGGTGGCTCTGCCCAGTGCGGGAACTCCATCAACTCTGCTGACCCGTTTTTTGTTTTTTTGGGTTTTTTTAACCCTCAGATGTAATAATGGGACTTTAAAAATCATTCTCATGAAATCTTAGCAAATATAAAAACCAATAAGGGAGGAATATAGACCAAAGGCCACCAATGGCAGCCTTGAACAGCTCAGCTTCATTTCAGAAACCTTCGTGTAGCAGCAAAGGAGGTGCGAGGGAGGGGAGAGACAGAGCCTTCTAGGGAAATAGGGAATAGGGAAATTTTCTCCATTAGGTGAAGTGGAAAAAGCCGGAATGCACTATTTGGAGACTTTTCAATTAAACCTCAGGGGCGTGGCCCCCTCCTGTGCCTCAGAGCTGTACTGCATCAGAGGCACTCAGGGCAGAAGAGTTGGCTTCATTGGGAAAGCTGGACAGACAGCGCAGCTGGCTACAAGCTTATGGTTCATCCCCCATGGCTGGTGGTGTGAAAAGCCGTGGGAAGAATTAGGAGCCCTAGGGAAGGCCCCAGGAGCTCCTGGGTCAGAGGAAGACGACGCCCCACCAGCGAGGGCTCCCAGCTATCGGCCCCTTCTGCAAAATCTCCTCAACAGGACACTTCCCTGCGGAATAGTCAAGTGAGTCAAGGCGCCTCTAGTGACCAGAGACTACCAAGATGTGCGGCCCTCCCAAGGGGAAAAAAATGATCGGGCCACCGGTGCGTGACTAAGTATCTTGGAGAAGAAACTCACTGACTCTAGCCAGAGGTCAGAGGCCACAGGAGAGCCCAGGAAGGCTTTAATCAGCCCTTTGAGTCAAGTTCTACCTTAGAACCAAATGGGTCCTTGGGAAACCCTACGATTTCTTTCCGTTCTGCAGCCACGGCAGCAGATAGCACATGCTCCATCATCCAAGACAGGGTGGCACTTTCCCATGTCACTGGTATAATGACAAGGCAGTGATCAAGTACTTTTGAGTTAGGAATTTGGGTCCTCATTTTGCAGGCAAGGAAACTGAGGCCCAGAGATCCAGCCCTGCTGGGGTGCAAACTCCAATCTGCCCAATTCCAGACCACCTGTTCTTATCCAGAAGCTCTCACCTTCCCAAAACACTTCTAGCCAGAGACTAGTACCTCAGGTAGGACAGCCCTGAAAAGGTCATTGCCATCTAGAGGGAAATTTCCTCCACTGAAAAGAACCAGGTCTCTCTGATTTGCTGTGTTCCCAGGGCCCCTTCCAGGTCCAGGCAGTGAGCTCAGTGAACCTTTTCTGTGGGGAGGATCCAGACTGCTTTGTATGATACTTAGAAACAAAATACTCAAAATAAGGAAGGCAGTAACTTCCTTAGTAAGATACGTAGGGCGCTACAGACATCATCATTGAGCATCACTGTGTGCACTCAGCCTTCTGAAGCCTCCAACCAGACAACCAGACCCGCCTTCCCAGGGCACCTCCACTATTCCTGCCTCTCCCTAACAAGGGGTGCTCCTATTGTCTGAACCCACCTGGTCTCCTTCCCCAGTTCTGAGTAGCACCTGGGCCTGCTCATCCTGCTGCCTGGACCCGCCCACAGCCTCCATGAGCACCAGAACCCTGAGAATGCCAGGCCCACCTGCACCTGCCGCGAGCAGGTGCCTACCTTGGTGTCAATCTTCCAGGTGATCTCTCGGATGCTCTGAAACCACTCGAAGAGCTCCTCCACCCTGTCTGTGGCAAACTCCACCGGAGGATCGCCCTGCTTCTTGGGCTCCAGGATGAAGACAAAGGGCTTCTGGTTTTTCCCCTGTGGGGCTTTCACTTAGGGGAGAGAATAAGAAATGTCCCGATCAGCCTGTGAGAGGGCCACAAAGACCACACCGCACCCTGCCTGAGCCGTTTCTCTCATGGACCAAACCAAACCGCCACTGCTATGATCACGGTTAGGATTGATGGGGTCGTCTACTTTCCATCGGGTAAGTACGTGTCACACACATGGCTACCCAGGAATGCAGTGGGTTCACTAGTGTCCTCCACAAAGCTGTGTCAGGTCACCAGTGCCTGTGAATGGGACCTTATTGGTTACTATAAGGATATAAAATGACATCATCCTGGATTTAGGGCAATCCCAACATCCAAACAAGGATGAGTATCCTTATCAGAGAAGGGAGAAGGATGTTTAAGATGCAGGAAAATAAAATAAAATGCATATGAGAACCTGAAAAAAATACCCTCTTGTCCACTTTATAGAAACATGTTCATCTTGATCAAAACAAACATTGTATATCTTTTCGATTGACCAATTAGAAAATGCTTTTTGCCCTTACCATATTTTCTACAAATTGCTAAAACAATACACATTCATTTTAGAAAGATTTTAAAATATAGCTAAGCAACTTGGCATTTTTACAAAATGTTTTCATACAATACATAAAATTTGATGAACTGATTGTTTCAATTAGTATATTGTACATAATTTTCTATTGTTACATATAATCTTTTATATACGAAGAATAATTTAAATGGCTTTTTTTTTTTTTTCGACAGGGTCATATTCTGTCACCCAGGCTGAAGCACACTGGTGCGATCTTGGCTCAGGCTCACTGCAGCCTCCACCTTCCAAGCTCATGCGATCCTCCCACTTTAGCCTCCCAAGTAGCCGGGACCACAGGTGCACACCACCAAGCCTGGCTAATCTTTGTATTTTTTGTAGAGACGGGGTTTCACTACGTTTCCCAAGGCTGGTCTCACATGCTTGAACTCAAGCGATCCACTCGCCTTGGCCTCCCAAAGTGCTGGGATTACAGGCATGAGCCACTACAGTGGGGTAAATGGCTTTGAAAACGGATGCCGACACAGGGAGAAAGCCATGTGCAGGCAAATGTGGAGACTTAGAATGCAGCCACAAGCCAAAAACACCAAGGATTTCCAGCAGTCACCAGAAACTAGGAGAGAAATCTGGTGTGGGTTCTCTAGACACAGAGCAAGCGTCTTATAGAGAAGAAAAGGTGATGAGAGGGAAACTTACCTAACAAATAATATTTGTAGCTAAGACTTCTGAGTTCTTATATACCAGGCAATATTCTAAGCAGATTACCTCTCCTGCATCTTTTTTTTTTTTCTTTTTAAGGTTTTGGGGTCTTGCTACGTTACCCAGGCTGGTCTGAGACTCTTGGTGCTCAAGTGATCCTCCCATCTCAGCCTCCTGTGTAGATGGACTACAGGCCCACTGCTATGGCTAGGCCCATTTTACAGGAAGAAAAACTGAGGCTCATTAAGAGAAAGTAACATGCGGAGGGTCACACAGCTAGTAACAATAAAACTGAGGCTCAGTCCAAACCTGACTCCAAGATCCCTACTCAGAACCACTGAGCCATGTGCCTCTGCTCTGCAAATACAGGAATGCAGGGAGAAGATACAAAGAGCATGAGAAGCGCAGGCAGGGATCCCGCACCCCCCACCCACACAGGACCTTAGCACGTGACGAGGTCTCTTAGGACCTTGATTTTTCTCTTCTGGTAATGGAGCAAAGAATCCCTCTCCCACCTATCCTGCTGGATTGCCGTAAAGGATAAGAAGCAGGTAATAAATGTGGAAAGTAGGCTGCATGTGGTGGCTCACACCTGTAATCCCAGCACTTGAGGAGGCTGAGGCAGGCAGATCACTTGAGGTCAGGAGTTCGAGACCAGCCTGGCCAACATGGCGAAACCCCGTCTCTACTAAAAATACAAAAATTTTCCAAGCGTGGTGGTGCATGCCTGTAGTCCCAGCTACTCCGGAGGACTAAGGCAGGAGAATCACTTGAATCCAGGAGGTAGCGGTTGCAGTGAGCCAAGATCATGCCACTGCACTCCAACCTGGGAGACAGAGCAAGACAGTCTCAAAAAAATAAGAATAAATAAAATTAATGTGTAAAGCAGAGCACTGGCAATAGAAGCAGGAATTTCCTGGGACTGTTGTCACCTAAGTCCTAGAGGACCATGCCCATGCCTCCCCAGGTAAAAGTCATGGAGGCTGCTACAGAGCCCCTTGACATGGGAGCTGCACCATGCCCGCTTAAAAGCAGGCATGCTCAAGGCCCAGGAAGCCCAGCACACACCAGACCCTGGCCACCACAGGCCTGGCCTCAGGGCCATGCCTCCACATCACTTGCAGCACAGTCAACATGGGCAGGCTGTATTTCCTGGGCCCGAGCTGAGCAGCCAGGAAGCAGAGGTTCGAAGAGCAGCGGAGAGGCAGAGCTGGGCTTAGAACACACAACTGCCAACTCCATGCTGCATTTCAGCCAGGCTGACAGCTCAGCTTTCCTTCCAAATGCATGAAACACAGGCAGATCCTGATGTTGGTCATAATATTTCCTTCCAAATGCATGAAACACAGGCAGATCCTGATGTTGGTCATAATATTTCCTTCCAAATGCATGAAACACAGGCAGATCCTGATGTTGGTCATAATATTTCCTTCCAAATGCATGAAACACAGGCAGATCCTGATGTTGGTCACAATATCAGCTAACCCCTATCTAGCACGTATGTACCAGACCCTGTTTAAGGACTTCTATTTTTAGCAGATATGAATGCACTGCAAACATCACATCATACTCACTGACCAGCCTGACCTAAATACTCAGCTTCAGCCAGGGAAAGAACCGGCATTCAAGTCACAGGCACGATGGGACCCCATGTCAGCCGCCTCCCTGTGTGGGGCGGGGCTGCGGTCAGGCCATGGGGGATTCGGGTGGGAATCCAGGCTAAGATGGTATGTGCACGTACCGACGTTATAGGTATTGAGGTCCAATATGCCTCTGCAAAGAGACCCTAAGGGATTGTCTTCAATAATCTATGAAGAAACAAGACATAACTCACGTCAGTTGTAACGGGAATAATAAAAAGACAACCCATTTCCAAAGCACACCGTTTAGCAGAGACACCGCCTGTGGAACTGTTTAAAATGCATTTTCATTACCAGATACGTCCACGGGGAGAAAGCTAAATAATGAAGCATGGAGCTGATAGGGACCTGACAAGGAGTGGCTGCCTGGAGGTTCCCAGTTTCATTTTCCAACCGGTAAAAACGTGCCCTGTGAATTCTAGAACAGGATTCACAACGTTTCCTCAGCTCTGGTTTCCAAACACACCCTAGACCTTATTACAAAATAAGACTATTTAGGCTACTAAAGCCCAGCTCCAGAACCCTCTGTGGCTCCCCATGTCCTGTGGAGGCAACACCCATGCTCCATGATCTGGCTTTTAAGGCTTTCTGAGCCCCCATCGCCCTTGCCAACTCTGCCCCCCATTGCACACTCGCACCATCCCGGGGTCTGGCTGAGATGGTGAGTATCCTGGTCTCAGGAGACGTGGCAGAACCGGGCATCCACTCATTGCCTGCACTACTGCGACCCCCACCGCCTGCACCAGGCAAATGCTGATGTACAGGTAAGGGCAACGCACTACAGACGCAGCAAGGGCTTCATGTCTCTGCCTCAGCCCAAACACACAGAACACAAGCCCATTCCCATTGCCACATCTTTGCTGAGACTGTACTTCCCACTTGGAACTCCCTTCTGCCAGTCTCTTGCTGTTGAACTCTAACTTGACTTGTAAGGCTCAAATACTCCTTTCAGGAAGCCTTCCCAGATTGCCCTACCTCCCTTACAAAATAAATCCCTTGGCCTCTAATGGGATCTTAAAGTCCTCATTACAAAGATATCATCCTTGGTGCAGCGCCAGCACGTTCAGAGTCACTGCTCCCTAACAAGAGGCAGCGACGGAACAACCACCAGGTTTGCAAAGCCACCAGGAAGGCCTCATCTCACCTTCTGGTTAGGCCCACTTGCTTACTCACCCCAGGCACGTTCTTAACGTCTGGCTGTCCAACATAAATGTGTTTCATTTGCAAGTTGCTTAAGCAGAGGACAAATTCCCCATTTGGCCACTTTCACTCCAGTGGGAATTCTGCATATTCAAAGCCTTCCAAGCCCAGCACAACCTGATTAAAACATGACTGGCTTGTCACAGAGACTCCCCCGCAACAACTCAGAGACGATCTCAATTTCCCTATCACTCTGTCTTCCCTGATCCAGAGCTCCACGGAGACCACTAGCAGCACATGGAAAAATTCACCCACTGAGATGGCACAGGTCCCTGAAAAACTGGACCTGCAGATCCCTTCTTCCTGTAAGATGATCGAAGAGGGGTACGCACCTGCTTTTCCAGCTCCTCGACATCTGCAGTTGAGATGTCCTCCACGTAGTTGGATGGGAAGTACTGCTGGATCCTGGTTCCATAGTCACCCTTCCACCTGGGTAAGAAGAGGGGACATCAGGGAGCTGTCACCAGGTGGCATGAATTACCCGCTACTGCTCATTAGCACCCGGCTGCTGGCTCGATTCTGATGGGCACAGGTAGCAAGTGGCCAAGTGACCAGTGTCACTATCTGTGACAATGCAGAAACTCACAGACAGCTTCTTTTTATTTTTTAATTATCAATGAGTTACTGGGGGCCGATTTTCCTCCTTATTAGATGATCTTAATGTTTGACCAAAGAAACCACAAGTCAAAAGTTTCAGTGCTTTAATTGGAAGTCAGAGACCATACAAGACAAAAGCTCAACCCCATTTCAGGGAATAATTTTGAGAAAAGGTGGTTCTAGAGCCAGATAGCCTGAAATTAAATTCCAGCCCTAGCACGGACTGTGGAGGCTTTCTGTGCCTCCAGTTCTCCATTCACAAAATGGTGAAACACGAGTGCTTCCCTTAGAAGGCTTTATTAGGTCTCTCTACATTAACATAAGCTGAGCGCTTGAGACAGCACCTACCTAGCACACAGTAAGTACTCAACAGTGTTAGCTCTTATTATTATTCAGCTAAAACACTGTTCCATACCTTTATGACAGCACTAACAACACATGACATAATCCATCTGTGAATGTTCCTGGACCCTACCAGACGGTGAGCACCTCTAAGATTCCTCCCCACAAGTCCACGCCCAGACACGCAAACCTCCTCCTTCGACCTGCGCATCTCAAGAGCCACTTCTGCAGCCATAGACCCTCCAAAATGCACGTCTGACCACACCACGTGACGGCTCCCCAGGGCCTCTAGAATCCAGCCCAGACTCTTCATCATGGCAACCACAGCCCAGCACAGGCTGACCCCAGGACTCCCAGACCTCACCTCCTAGCTCTCCATGACATTGATTCCACATGGCCCATTGTCCTCATCATTCCCCTGCCACATTACCCAGCTTCCATGTCTTAGTCCACGCCCTTGGTACCCAGCTTCCCTCTACTAATTTTAGACTCAGTTTGGGCATTTCCTCTTCCAGGAAGTCTTCCCTGACTGCCACCTAGGCTGAGCACTCTTCCTCTGTGGTCCCCTGGCCTCCTGTCCTGATAGTCATCCAAGCAGCCACACCTTATACTTAATGTGTAATTACACACCTGTCTTCCCCACTGTATGAGATCTTTCTGGATTTTTATTTTTCTTTTTAGTCCGAGTCTCATTCTATCCCCCAGGCCAGAGTGCATGGCGTGATCTCGGCTCACTGCAACCTCTGCCTCCTGGGTTCAAGCAATTCTCCTGCCTCAGCCTGCCAAGTAGCTGGGATTACAGGCACGCACCACCACGTCTGGCTAACACTTGTATTTTTAGTAGAGACAGGGTTTCACCATGTTGTCCAGGTTGGTCTCAAACTCCTGACCTCAAGTGATCTGCCTTCTTTGGCCTCCCAAAGTGCTGGGGTTACAGGTGGGAGCCACCATACCTGGCTGACCTTTCTGGATCTTAATCAAGTCTGCGCTTCACGGTGCTAAGGACTTTAATATTTTTGGTCTGAATAAGCAGACTGAGGACTGATGCTACCAGTTCACATAGCGGAGACACAGGACTGCAGGTTGTAAGCCCTTTTCATGCCCTCCGCACCATTACTCTAGACCCACTTCTGGCAAAGGCTGGGTATATTTAGGGTGATCATATGGACTATCCATCCAGGACTGAGCAGTTTACATTCCTTTGACACTCAGGAGCATCCTGGTTCAGACCAAAGTTGTGTGGTCCCCTAGCTATAGGGGAACAAGTTTGGGAATATGCAAAAAAAGCCATTTCAGTTTGGGCATAGTGGGTCACACCTGTAATCCCAGCACTTAGGGAGGCCGAGGTGGGCGGATCATGAGGTCAGGAGTTCGAGACCAGCCTGGCCAACATGGTGAAACCCCATCTCTGCTAAAAAATACAAAAATTAGCTGGGTGTGTTGGCACATGCCTGTAATCCTAGCTACTCAGAAGGCTAAGACAGGAGAATTGCTTGAACCTGGGAGGTGGAGTTTGCAGTGAGCCGAGAATGCACCACTGCACTCCAGCCTGGGCGACAGAGGGAGACTTCATCTCAAAGAAAAAAAAAAGGCCGTTTCACACAGGCAGCCCCCTCAGTAGCACTTCTGCCATCAGAGAGAGAAAGAAATGACCATGGCCACAGGACAGTTTGCCCACAGTCCCTTGGCAAAGAACTCCTCTTAACTCATCTCAGGATAAGAGCCTTCGAAATTTGGAGAACTGCCTATCAGAGGCATGGAAAGACACGAGGCTGTCTCACAGAATGGAAAACTGTGGTTTGGAGCAGTTACATGGGCTCCATCCACAACTCCAAAAATGTTAGTCACCCACCCAGTGAGCACCAGGACATTGGCCAAGGCAGGGACAGGAGCACAATGAGGGAGTGCCAGTGTCCCTGGAAGAGACCTCAACTCTGACTGTGCCACTTCGAGTGGAGGGACCTCGGCAAAACCAAGCATCTGAACTGGGAGACGCTGATCGACACCATGGTTGCCGAACTGGGTCTGGGAGCCTCCAAGGGGAAGCATCAGGGGCTGCAGTAGGGATAGCGAGGTCAGCCACGAGGCCAAACAGGGCAGCTCCAGCCCCCACTCCAGCTCAACAGATAACTCAGCTGCATCTTTAATTCTGGGGAATCTAGGTATGAACTGGTTTGCAATGAGGTTCTCCAGATTTTTAGAAAAACTTTGACAATCCCTGGATTAAGGCATCTTGCAAGAGGACAGGGAAGGACTTAGCAGATGAATGAGGTTACGAGCGTAGGCTTTGGAGCCAGAAGGCCTGGGGCTTCAAATCTCAGCCTGTGTGGCCCTAGACGAGTGGCTGCATTTCTCAGGCCTTCAGTTTCCTCATCTGTAAAATGCAGGTAACAACAGAACCAACTTTTTACAGTCATCATGTGGATTCAGTGAGTTATTTCAAACAAAGTGCTTAAAACAGAGCTTGACACATAGAAGCACTCCATGTAAGCTGCCATTCAGATTTCTAAGTCAGGTCTAGTTATCTTGTGAAAAGCAGAAATGCCCATCTATGAGGTGCTTAAACTAGTACTCACGATTACGAGCAAGTTCTTATTGTTCTCAGACAGAAGTCACCCCACGAAACCACTTGCCCAGAAACCTGTCAGTAGGCAGTGAATTTTTCTTCCATGGTAAAAAAGGGAAGTGGTACCTAAACCCTAGCACACCCAGATACCTTTGCCCTAAAAACATATTGTCTTCAATTCAGGATGCAGCCATTGTACACAGCATGGGACTATGCAATAGCATAAGAATTAGAACTGGAAATAACACACTGTCTTGTGTATTAAAAACGGCCTGCACTATTTAGTAGCTGTGTGACTTGGACAGTCTCATTCACCGCATCCTTAACGTGGGAATAATCATACTCCTAACCACAGGGAGTAATAAAGATTTGATTGAAAGCAATTAGCAGACTGCTTGCCACCTAGTAAGACTTCAATAATGGTAGCTGCTGTTGGAATCATAATAATATACAATATATCATATGACATATTGATAACTGTTAATATTGTTGTTTATCCATGTTCTCAAATAGAGCAAGCACGAAGCCACCTTCCTAAAAAGGGACTTAACACAAGAGGTCAAAGCCAGCCCAGAATGGCAGACAAAGAGGGGGCGGTCAGACTCAGCCAGCACCTGAGTCTCATCACCCAGAAGGGACAAGTCAAGCATGCCCGCCAAGCAGCCCAGCCTCTACTCAGCCTTACCAGCCCCCGGGCTCCTTGGAGACATTGTGGATGAGGGCGCCACGGCAGAAGCTCAGCTCATCGCTTCGCTTGGCTTTGTAGTCATACAGAGCTTTCACAGTTCTCTGAGGCTTTCAGGGAAAACAAGAAAGAAAACGTCAGGCCAGGGACAGGAGGCTGCATTCCAGGCATCATTCAGTTCTTCTCACTGGGGAGCAGGAGGCTTCAGGACAAGATTACAAAGTCATCTGCTGGAGAGGGACTGGCATTGCAAAGGACCTAAGGCCCCAAAAAGTCACCAGGGAGTGAAGGAAGTCTGGCCTGGTCAGAGCTAAGGGTATCTGGGTTAGGGTTAGGGCTAGGGTTAGGGGCTAAGGATTATGGGTTAGGGTTTAGGGTTTTGGCACAGGGGTTAGGAGTCAGGGTTAGGGTTAGGGTTAGGGTTAGGGTTATAGTTTAGGGATAGAGATGAGGTTAGGGTGAGAGTGCCCCTGTATTTCACTGACCCAATATTCCTCAATTTCTTCAACAAAGAAAGGAAATGCCTTTTAGATTAAGCCAAGACCTCCGTCACAGTGCCTGTGCTCATCAAGCCTCCCAGAAGTTCAAGGGCAACCCCATTCTTCCTGCCTGTCCTGAGGGCCTCACTGCTCTTTTTATGTAGGTCAGCGGTCCCCTATCTATACTCTTGCAGGCCGCTGACCTTTTGCAAGACTAAGTCAGGCTCTCCTCTATGAAATTCATCAAAAGGTGATCTCTGTTGTCATAACTAAGTAAGAACTTCCTCAGTATAGAAATTTTATTCAATGAATTTGCTTTCATGCCTTCTGCCTGGCAGGCATAAACGAATACCCAGATGGCAAGCAAATATTAATGGGAAAACCTCTGACGCCGTCAAACCTGTTTAGATCAGCGGCTTCCTTCTTCTGCCACCCAAAGGAAATGGGAACAGGAATTTCACAGGGAATCCAGTAAAACTATTCCTCAGAACACAGGCTACAAAGTCAGACATGTAGGTTCAAACCATTGCCCTGCCCTTAAATGGTTACATAAGGTTGAGACTCTCTGATCCTCAGCTCCCCCATCTGTGAAATGAGAAGTAAATTTTTATACATTTCACAGGATTGTTAAACTATCACATGAGATCGTGTGTATAACGACATAACTCACAGGAGCTTGCGATTCTTCAGTGCTAACTGCAGTACAGGTCAAAGCACTGTTCCGAGCCTCAGGGTATCACCTTTAATCCCTACAACCACCGTAACAGGTAGGTAGTTACGTGATTATCCCCATTTTACAGATGATGAAAAAACTGAGATGCGGAGAAGGAAAGTAACTTGCCCCACATCAACCAGCTGTTTTAAGTAGCTGAGCCCGGAACTGCATCTATCAATGTGAGTTATTGCCATAGCTCAGGATGTTTCGTAAGAAGCAATGTGGGTTCTAGAAGCTCTGCCACAGGGATCTGCAGCGGGAGGCTAAGCAGAGCCCTTGCCTATCTCTCTCCCTCCTGCAGACAGAGCGGCCTCTACCTGCATATCCTGCTTCAAGGGTGGATGTAAGGGCCAGAGCCAGGCTCCAAGGCCACAGGAACGAACACTCATCAGTTAGAGGGGTGACTGTTCTCATCACCAAAACATCCTTCACTTCTAACAAAATTTTTGCTGCTAAGTTCTCTTAATGCATTTCACATACAGCTGAATTTGCCTACAACTTTTCAAGATTTCATTTATTTCTGAAAGAGATCTACATTGGCCAAGGATTATAAATTTTTAAAAAACAAAGTCACCTATGGATTTCAACAGAGCCCACAAGCAGGGCCCCTGCCTAAGCGAGCGCTGTACACTAATCGTGGGCCACATGGCCCCCAAACAGAAAATTTGCCGCCGTTCTTCCTCTGCCGGTTCAAACTAAATCTGAGATGAAACCATGGCAAGGAAGAGCCGAGGGCTCAAAGTAAAATCCATCCCTACCTGCATGAAATTACACGACAGAGTTGGGGTGGGAATATGAGATAGTGTTTGCACTGTTTGCACTGCAGGGAGGTCAGCGAACCAGATGGAATTTATAAACACCACGGGCTCCATCAGTGAGCAAGAAACATTTGAAAGACTTAATTAGAAGCCATTTTGGCCCAGAGGTGGTTCAGGAAACCTCAGAATTTTAGCAAAACACTGTTGCATTTGGATGGAATTCTATTAACCTTTACCCTGAAACTAGACTTCATACTGTCAATCATCGTTTCTTCTCAAAAAAATAAATAAATAAATTATTTTGGCCGGGTTTTCCAGAATCTTCCCTTGCCCTGTTGTAACTGCCAGGAGAACAAGATGGAATCCACATCAGCCTAGTGACTCAGAAATCACGTGAGCTGGGGGTTCAGCACTGTACCATGGACGGATTGATTTCACTGGGATCCACATACATTCTGCTGACATCATAGAGGGAGTTTATATCTCTTTCCTGGAAGAAAAAAGAAAGAAAGAAATGTAATAATCCACGCTCCTAGAATAGCCCTTCCATATTACAAGAGTTCTAGGCTTCCTTATGGTTACCTATCCTTCGATAGAAGAGTTGAAATGTCATAGAATTTTCTTGTGACCCATGAGTGGACACAGGAAAAAGCTATACAAAAGGTCTCCAGACTTGGAAACTAACCCAAAATCAGAGAGGCCCTGGCATGGCCTGCTGTGTGCCAGGCACCATGTTCCCTTGTAAAAACACAAATCCTAAGATCCAGTGGTGCGCTGGAGTGAGCTCCCAGCTCGCAAAAGCCCACTGTGTACATCGCTTCCTGACTCCACATTTAAGGTTTGATGGCAGCATATCAGCAACTTGAAACTGACCACCATGTAAGTATTTACACCACGGAAATTGGCAAATGCTACAAACCACTGCTTTCCCCCTCAGAGCTGTTTAAACATTTGCTAGCACACCACTGCCAAGATCTGCCCCCAGCACCTCTCTGTTCCTCTCTAACTCTTCTTTCTGTTCCTCATGTCACCTGAGGGCTTGTGGTGTGGCTACTCCTCTACCTAGAGCTACCCCTTCCTTCACTTCTCCCCCAAGTCCATTCACCACTGTCTTCCATGTTTCAGCTCACATTTCCCCCCTTTTAAGGTGGCCTTCTCTGATCACCACCCCCACAGTCTAAGGCAGTACCCACCCCTTTTCACACAATCCTGTTTTCTTTGCTTTATTATACTTCATGCTACCTGAAATTATCTTCGTTATGTATATTATCTCTCCTCTCCAGAACCTACATTTCCCAAAGGCAGATTTTGTTCCATAGTACTCCCAGTATCTACAACAGTTCTTGGCACATGGTCAGGATGACATAAATCTCTTTTCAATAAATTAATGATCTGTGTGGTAGGAAGGGAGACACTGTAATCATGTCGGGTCTCTTCTGTACCCAGAACTGTCCAATAACTCAGAGAAAAAGCCAGGGCCTTATAATGGCCTCTGAGCCCTGCATGATCCAGTCCCCTGTGAACCCCCATTTTCATTTAGCTCCACCTCCACCTAGGCTTGCTCAATTCCAGCTGCTTCTTGGTGCCTCCAGGCAGGCTCCTACCTCAGGACCTTTGCACATGCTATCCTCTCTTCCTACAGAAGTTACCCACCTGGCTCACTCCTTCTCAGTGACATCTTCCTAGACCACCCTCTGAAAACTGCAATCCCTTCCCCATCACTCTGCATCCCCTTATCCACCTGCCCAGTGTTTCTCCTTAGCTCTCATCACCATCTGACACACACTATGGATATTTTAAACCTCATTTGTTGCATCTCCCCATCACTACACTATAAGCAGCACAAGGGCAGGGTCTTTTTCTGTTGTGTTCAGTTTGTATCCCCAGAACCTACAGCAGTATTAGACACATGGTGAATACTCAGAGGTTTGCTGAACTCAGGAACAGATGAGCTACAACCTCAGACAAGAAATCCCACCAAATCACAAGGGAGTCAACCACCTACCATATTGTAGCGCTCCAGGAGCTCGGGCGTCACGGGGTAGCGCAGTCTCATCTTTCGGTAGAGTGAATGCTTCTCATAGTAACTGACGAGCTCCACCAGGCTCTCAAAATAGGCGGAGGTTCCCAGAACAAAGTGCCGGCCGTCCCGGTTGATGCGACAATGCTTCACCTTGCCCCTAGCCCTGGATCGGGAAGAACACAGCGGTTGACATGTCAAGATCCTGGTGGCCAAACAATTTTTATACAAACCCCACTGATTAGATACAACGTAGTTATCCAGCCTTAGAGAAGTGGGTACAGAAACAGGGTGTAGTCCTCCTATGGAATACAAGGCAATTAAAAACAATGATGTGGGTATTTTCAAAACAGATCTAGAAGACTCTGTGTCTCAGAAGAAATATTGCTGACTGACTCAACAGCTCCTCTTACCCTTCCCCTCCTCCCCAGCTACAGGGCTTGACTTTAGGACCATCTTAGGGAACTAGATGAGGAGTAGGCCAAATCTGTCCCACCACTTTTTATAAATAAAGCTTTATTGAAACACAACTATAGTTCATTTGTATATACATTGTCTGGGCTGTTTTCATACTGTAACAGCAGAGTTGCATAGCTGCAACAGAGACCATATGGCCAGTAAAACCTAAAATATTCACTCTTTGGTCCTTTACAGAAAATGCTTGCCAATCTTCCCCACCAAATTCTTAAATCTTGCCTTCAATGACTCAGCTAGCAAAATGACGACTTTTTTTTTTTTTTTTTTTTTTCAAAAAAGAGACAAGTCTTTCATTCCTTCATCTGTTTGAAACATGAAGCAGAAAAAATCCAAAACAGAACAGCCTCCTTAGTTTTATTAGCTTTTTTCAGCAAGACAAAAACATCTGGAAAAATATATTTTGACCCTAGCTTTATAGCCAAGAGGCTCTTCAAACTGGACCTTTATCTCACACCATAAACAAAAAAAGCACCTCAAAATGGATTAAAGACTAAACATAAGACCTGAAACTGTAAAACTACTAGAAGAAAACCAAGAGTAAAAACTGTGTAACATGGGTCTGGACAATGATTTTCCAGATAGCACCCCAAAAACACAGGCAACAAAAATGAAAGTGGATAAACGGGATTATATCAGACTAAAAGGCTTCTGCGTAGCCAAAGAAACAATCAACAGAGTACAGAAACAACCTACAGAAAGAGAAAAACATCTGCAAACTGAAGATTTGACAAGCGGTCAACATCTAAAATATGTAAGGAACTCTAACAACTCAAGAGTAATAAAATAAATTACCCAATTTAAAAATGGACAAAGGCCGGGCGCGGTAGCTCACACCTGTAATCCCAGCATTTTGGCAGGCCAAGGCAGGCAGATTACTTGAGGTCAGGAGTTTGAGACCAGCCTGGCCAACACGGTGAAATGCTGTCTCTACTAAAAATAAAAAATTAGCTGGGCACAGTGGCGGGTGTCTGTAATCTCAGCTACTCGGGGGGCTGAGGGATGAGGAGGACTTGAACCCTAGAGGCAGAGGTTGCAGTGAGCCAAGATCATGCCACTGTACTCCAGCCTGAGTGACAAACTAAGACCCTGTCTCAAAAAAGAAAAAAGA